CAGACATCGAGCAAGATCGAAGATAGCACAATAACAGAAAGGCGAGATATCCGTGATTGGTCGAGGATCGTGGCGTAAATCTCGGAACAGATCAAATCAGAAACTGTTAATTAGCTAATCATGAAATTTTCTTCTGTAATTAGAATTATACCATAAATGGAATTCCTCTACTATTTAAAGGGGGATTCTAATCATTTGTAACACACATTGTTCACATATATCAAAGCAATATAATTCTCTTTCTCGTTTATACTATTGTTCATCAGCTTGTTATATTTTGATTGTTCTTACATCAACCACTTCGAGGGTATCCAAACTCGAGGGTTGAGTTCCATTCTAACACTAGTTTGCTTTACTTTATAGTTTATTTCTGTTATTAATCTTCATATTTATCAATTGGTATTAAGTGAAATCACGTGTCCTTAGAACCACATTATAAGTTTAATTGTTATCCATTTTTAAGGGTAAACAGTGTCAAAATATATTTTTCCCGTTTGTTGGAAATGTTTAGTTTGACATCTAAAAGGAAAATTTAAAAAATGAACAAATTTGTAATTTCCATAGAAGCTCTTTTTCCCGAAAGATTTGCTTAAAATTTATTTAATTTGATAAATAATTGCTCTAAGTCATTTGGTATAAACGAATTTTATATACGTCGAATAATAACTGAATAAATTAAACTGAGAGTAAATAAGATTTTACCAGATCCTACTAGTGGAATTTTATTAGGAAAAATTCAAAAATAGCAAGATTTACAAGTGGTAATTGAAAAATAGCCACAGTTCCAAAAGTAATCGAAATTTAGCCACTTTTAATGTAAAAGTAAATTTGAACGAAAACACTATTCATAATTCGGAAAATATTCCAGCATAATATACTGGAGTTCTAGTATAATATATCGGTGCAGCATAATATGGTGGAAGTTCATACACATGTGCTCCAATCTCCAGTATATTATGCTATAACTTTCCACGTGTTGGAGTTCCAGCATAATATGCTGGGAGTTCATACACAGGTACACCAATCTCCAGTATATTATGCTGGACCGGTCCGTGTTGCAGCAAAATAGTGGCTATTTTTTAATGACTTTGCAAACGCTTGCTATTTTTAAATTATTAGTCCGAAAACTAACTAGTCCGTGCTATTTTTACGATTTTACTGGGTATGTATGTTGTTGTTGTAGTAGTAAATAAGATTTATCTTTTCACTATCAAAATTGTTTGGCTAAGTAATGGAATTTTAACTCGAGTAATTAAAAACATGGGGACTTAAAACACAAAGCACTAACACTACATTACAATTGACAGGAAAGTGATGTGGTGATTAGAATCTTAATTTACATGTGATACATGACAAAACAACTTACATGTCTACTAATGGGCAAAAATAATTAAAAATAAAAACAGAAAAACACCCCACAAGGTGGAACCCACAACAAAAATTTCTGCTTTCACATTACTACTTAGCTAATGATTTGATTCCACGGCTTGTAATTTATGGATGGGCCATAGAAAATAATCAGAAAAGCAAAGAACGGAAAAATAGATGATATTGTGAAATTTATACGCAATATTAAAATATAATCATGGTTTAAAAAGCTAAGATTCTGTCACAGTCATTTAGTATTACACATTTCAAGAGAAATGTTTTGGATTATTTCAGTAGTGAACTTTTACTAAAATAAATTTCATAGAATAACATTGTTTACCTATCATATTTAAAAAAATATATCTTACTTGAACTAATAGCACGAATTGTTTAAATGGATTATTAATTCTACGTAACTTACCCAATAATTTTCTAAGTTATAATCTGAAGCAATTTTACAGTAAAAACAAAAATAGATCCAATTCTAAGACCAAAAATACATAATGAACCTGCTACATTGAACTCTGTTTTTCTTTTATTTCATGTTGAGAAATTTAAAATTAATTTAATTACTGAAAAATATTTATCCCAATAGAACTTATGCACGAGTTTTATTCCCAAATTGCATGTGCAGTATTTATTGATTAAGTTGCTAATTATTAATCATGTGGGTGTTACAGCATATGCCTGTTACCACCTTAGTTACATGCATGAGATCAGAACATGCAATTCAATAAAACAATATCCAACATAGAAGCATCCTTATTAGGTGTATCTTTCTGTCTTATTTTTTATGTCAATTAAAAACTTGAAAAATATGTAGTGGATTATTTTCTTGCCAACCCACGTAAATCAGAAATCAGAAATGACAAATAGAGAGGCATGAGCCAGCTTGTAATTCAGCTGCATTTAGCTGAAGGCTAGAAGCTGTGCTTTAGTCACCTTTCTTGTTTTTTTTTTCTTTTACTAAAATGATAGGCATGCCCAAATATATTGTTCTCATCCGGTGATGGCAAAATGGTTAAAAAAAATACTTATTCACCATATTATCCATTAAAAAATTAGTTGGATAATAATTTTTTTAAAAACGGGTTAAATATGGATAAAAATCATATTATCCACTTAAAAGGGGATAACTAATGAATAACTAATGGGTTTAACTTTTACATTTGTAAAACCTCAAATTAGGGGTTCCTCGTATTTGGGAGACTAAAAATTCTCCCAAAAGTAATAATATTCATGAAATCATGAATAATATGGATATCCATATCATCCCCTGGTTAATCTTTTTTTATCCGTATTAAATATGGGTCGGTTAGGATAATTTATCCATTTTGAATTATCCATTTTTTGGCTCGTCCATATCCAATCTGACCCGTCTGTTTGCCACCCTTATACCCATCTTGTTAAAAAAGACTGATCGGTACACTAGGTTCCGCACTTACATGAAATTAGTCGAATCATATTACATTTTATGTACGAAAAGGGAGTCTTGGTGTAACTCCTAAAGTTGTTGCCATGTGAGCAGGAGGTCACGGGTTCAAGCCGTGGAAATAGCCCCTTGCAGAAATGCAGGATAAGGTTACGTACGATAGACCCTTGTGGTCCGGCCCTTTCTCGGATCCCGCGCATAGCGAGTATTTAGTGCAACGGGCTGCCTATATTACATTTTATTTACGTAATATTACCTTGTATATCTACAAATTATTTCAATAGCCTAGACATATAACGTCCTTATCACATGAAAGGGCAAGACAAGCTTGACAAGGGCTTGACAGAGCGGTATGGCAAACAAGACGTCATGGCATGATGGGCACCGAACAATATGGACACGACACTTTAGCGTGTGGCATGCGCCAATGTCGGGCTAAGCTATGACAAATCAAGCGGATTCATGGAAACGACTAAGAATAGCTAAGGCAAAGCTAGCTAAAACAAAAGACAAGCAATAGTACATGTGAAACAAGAGTTGGCACGGGCAAGAATGAAACTCGGCCAGAGCAATATGCGAGTGGCATATGCGACATACATATGTGGCAAAGTCATGGACAAGGAGTGTGCGGACATGGGATTGGAAGGAGGTAGTGTCAAGATGCTAAGGTTTGGCGCAAAGCAAGCCTTTAGTGTGTAGCAGCTGGGCAATACAAGCACATGCAAGGCACATGCGAGGCAATTACCCGTTTCTTTTAGTTATAAATGCTTGTACCCGATGATAGCATCATCTTGTAGACTGCATGAATAGTGGCCTAAGTAGTTGGGGATATCAACTACATGTTTGCCATAAGTGCTATAAATTTATGCCTTTCAACTTAATCAAACTGTGTGTGGGAAATTCGTGTAGAACTTCAAAAAAGGAAAGTTAGAAAGAAACGTGAGGGTTTTTAAAGAGTGTTCCTAAAAGGGCTAATACTGGACATGGGCAAGTCTTAGTGTTGCATTGATCGACTTGTAATCTTTACTTAGATGAAGTTGGCTGTGAATAATTTATGTTTATAGCAAGTGGGGGTTTCTTTGTAGAATGCAAGTTAGAGTGTGATTTTATTTTGTAGAATTCGGGTTGGAATGTGAAATAGAAATAAAAATGGACTATGAACGACTTGTGTTCAAGTCAATTTGAGACTTAATTGCTATACGGAGATTTAAACCTCGGACAGAGATGGATCACTCTTATAACAACTTTCTCTCTCTCTCTCTCTCTCTATATATATATATATCTAAGATATCGTGAGTTAAATTAATTGAAAATTCAACAACAAATCAAGAGCTCCGAGCCAATAAAGATTGAGAAGATTGACTCAAGAATCAATTTCACGATGAGCTCCATTGTAGAATTCAGACCTAACTATTAAGTAAAAAGTGATGGGAACGACATAACTTGTGAACGCAAAAGATTCTATTGAAAAAGGAATCTTAATGATTCACTAGTCGGGATAGCGGAACGAACTAGAGATTAAGTGAATTGTCTAAGTGTTCCCCTTGTCTCATTCTTTAACTCGTAATCATTCGGTTCCCCTCCTAAAGCTAGCTCCTACTCCCCCTCCTTCTCCTAGGATATATGATGCTCCTTGGTCCGTTTTACATAACACTCTTGGCCGCCTAAGAGGACTAGGCGAAGATGGGGATAAAGAAAAATGATTGAAGCCTCCTTAGCTCTGCCAGACACTGGACATGGGTTAGCTCTGTAAACGTGTAGAGCCAAGTGTAGTGTGGTGTAGCAGTAGGCACTTCAAGTCCCCTTCCCAGCTACTGGATAACTCCAGTGCTTCGGGTACTACGAACCCTCTGCCATCCATTGCAGCATAGTCGTTTCATGAGGAAGGGGGAGGGGGCGCTAAGCGCAGTTTTTCAAATCAAACGTCTTCCCGCCCTTTTTTTTCAGGGGCAGAGTCAATTTTGTTACGGTCAGCAAATCTGTCCCGCATCGTATTGATAGCGATCTAGATCACTTCCCCTAACCTAATTGTGTGTGAGCAATCAATCGTGACCTTATTTAATATTCTTGAGATGTAATGTTTGAGTCTCATCCATTTAAGTTTCTATTTCACACTCCCACCTGCATTTTAGTGAATAAGAATATAAAAGTTAAAAAAAATAAGTTAATTCTCAATTTCACTCGAAAAAGCCTAACCAAAATGGATACCTTCTCGGCCAAAATTGAACGCAACGTTAGCCTAAAATCAAGAAAGTAAAAAATGGAAGTCGAAGAGAAAAAAATCCAAGAAAGCCAGCTTGCTAGCTCCAAAGCTTGAGCTTTTTCCATCACTCACACTCCCATTCTCAGCTGTCTGTCGGTGGTCCTTCTTACTTCTTCTTTCTTGCTACTTGCTAGCTCACACACACACACACATCTCTCTCTCACATTCACACACAACAATATACATACATAATATAATGCTGTATCTCTCTTTCTCTCTCTAACTCCTTCATACATATTCTTCTTTCCTCTCTTCGCTTCTCTACTACGAAACCTCACTCTTTCCCCCAAATGCAATAACAAAAGACAAGCCTTAGATCCAAGGTCTTATCTTTTTCTCTGTCTCTCTATTGCGTCTTTCTGCATTCTTTATTATCAAGATTTTACTGGATTTCTATATACTATAGTCTTAAAAGGTTCAATTTTTTCCCGCATTCGTTAGATCTTTTGGCTATATTTGTATAAACTGTATAAACCTTGGTGAAATGTGCATGTGGGTTTTGGTTTTAATGGAAAAACCCATTTGGGGTTTTGTTTTTTGAGGTAAAGGTGTGAGCTTTAATTGTGTGTGATCTGGATCTTGTGTTTCCTTGGATCAATTTTGTAGGATTTATGTTGGATTTGGTTTGAGATTGTTGTAATCTAAACTGGGCATTGATGTTTAGTTCAATTTATTGCTGAATCTGATCTCAGATTTATGTGATTTCCATATATGAATTTTGGTTAGTTTTTTGCTTTGAACTAGTCAAGTAATTCACTGCTCAAATTAAGGAAGTAAAAACTAGTCAAGTAATTCTAGTGGTACTATCATTCTTAAAAACTAGGCCATTACAATTTGATCTGTATCTTTTGTTAATGTATGCCAAAAACACTTCATTTTCTTAATTGAGCTAATTTTATTTTGGGTTTTCTCCAGAAGTTTTGTAATAAATATTTATTTTACTGGTGGTTTGCAGGAGGCTGTTAGCTTTCTTCTGTGTCTTGGAGGTAGATCTGCTACGAAGATCTTGAGATCACAGCAAAGCTGGCGGCCACACTTGCTTGGAGGTTCACTGCTGCCAATGGCAGCAGTCTTGCCAGTAATGATATGGTAAAGTTCCCTTTTTTAGAAGAAAAAGCAACTGATTTAATAAATTTTCTGGGGATTTATATGATATGTGAGCTGTTGAATTAGTTTTACTCAAAGATCTGGAGATACCCGTTGGCGCATTCACTCTATCTGGGTGGTCTTTACTAGTAGTTTTATGTGCAATCATAGTGTTGGTGTAGTTTGTTTTCCATTGAAATTGTAATGCGGTTTATTTTTCAGTCTGACATGTTCTAAGTAAGTACGTATTACTCGGTAGCTAAATCCAGATGGTTGTCACTGTTCTACTTCCTTTTCCCTCTGAACTCGCCTTGTGGAATGGGAGGGAGATAGTTCTTTTTGCATTTCTTTTTGTTGAAGAATCTGTCCGTATCATGTACAAACATGTAAACATTTTAAATTGAAAGGGGTTGCATCACTGACTCAATGCTGCATCTCGAATATCTATTTCTGTGATTCCATCACTGAGAGGAAAAAAGTTAGGTTTATACATTTTTGCTTACTTTGTTGAGTCGTAAAGTTAAACTGGCTGTTTTCTTGAAGATATTAGTCATGCTGTTTATGGTTGACATTTTCCTTCTCAAACGACATCACCAGATTCACTGTGATTTCCTAGACTCTTGAAACATTCCTCACCAATATCTACCAATTCTTTTCTTGTTACAGGAAAGAAATGGGGATGCTAAACCTCATGATATGGAGCCTCCAACTCCACATTCAATCATGAAAACATCTTCAAGGTTAGTCTAATCATTAACGGTTTCAGTTTAGGGGCTCATAATGATCTGGTCTATGGCTTGTGTTTTACTCGATGGGAAGCAATAGCTGTATAGTCAGTAGATGCTGTTTTTTTAATTTTTTGTTGCTATAAGCATGACTGCATGAGGAAAATGAAAGCACACTTGTCCTTGCAAAACTCTATCTGTTGCTGTCTTCTCATGGAATCTATATCTGCAAATGCTGCTACTGTTTCCTATACTTCATGAGTCCTCAGTTAAACTCGTCTACCAGATTCTTCTTTTTGTTTATAAGAATCCATTAGTTTTATCTCAATGCAGTATCCATATTTCCATAACTCCAACATGCATCAGTTGCACAAAACTTAAATGATACATAAGCTTCCACTGTTTCACCTTTCCTCCACAGATAGCATAGATTCTCCAAGCTGCAAAATTGATTCACATAACATAGAGTTTGTGGAATGTGGATTACATTCTGCTTTGAACATTGCTGGTCTTTGCTGTTACATTTTAAAACTGAAAATATTTAAACTGCAGTTGACTATATCCTGTACTTAGTTTTCTGTTGTAAGATACTAATCCGATGAAAGTTGTTACCAGTAAGAAAAGCAGCAATTGAACAAAAATTGTAGTACTATCATTTAGAATCATGCAGCTTTTCTAACCTCATATGAACCAAATGACCATTTTACACGATGATATTCATGAAAGAACGTTTTGCTATTAAATTGTGCAGAGATCGTAGTAGCATGGAGGATCCAGATGGGACGTTAGCAAGTGTTGCTCAATGCATTGAGCAGTTACGGCAGAATTCGTCATCCATGCAAGAGAAAGAACATTCGCTTAAGCAATTGTTGGAGCTTATTGATACACGAGAAAATGCATTTAGTGCTGTTGGCTCACATTCTCAAGCTGTTCCAGTACTTGTTTCTTTACTTCGTTCTGGCTCACTTGGGGTAAAGATGCAGGCAGCTACAGTTTTGGGTTCTCTGTGTAAAGAGAATGAACTGCGAGTGAAAGTACTATTAGGTGGTTGCATACCGCCGCTCCTTGGTCTTCTCAAGTCAAGTTCAGCAGAAAGTCAAATTGCAGCAGCAAAAACCATATATGCTGTGTCTCAAGGTGGTGCAAAGGATCATGTTGGCTCAAAAATATTTTCAACTGAAGGAGTTGTGCCAGTATTATGGGAGCAATTAAAAAAGGGACTAAAAGCTGGAAACATAGTTGACGACTTGCTAACAGGAGCTTTAAAAAACCTTTCAACGAGCACTGAGGGATTCTGGTCTGCAACAGTACAAGCTGGAGGAGTGGATATACTTGTTAAACTACTGAATAATGGACAGCCAAGTACTCAGGCAAATGTCTGCTTTCTCCTTGCTTGTATGATGTTGGAGGATTCTTCTGTTTGCTCGAGAGTCTTAGCTGCGGAGGCCACCAAACAACTTCTTAAACTACTTGGATCTGGCAATGAAGCCCCAGTTAGAGCAGAAGCTGCAGGTGCTCTTAAATCTCTTTCTGGCCAAAGCAAAGAATCCAGGAAGGAAATAGCAAATTCCAATGGTATTCCTGCTCTGATAAATGCTACCATAGCTCCTTCAAAGGAATTCATGCAGGGTGAATACGCCCAAGCTTTGCAGGAGAATGCGATGTGTGCCCTTGCAAATATTTCTGGTGGCTTGTCATATGTCATTTCAAGTCTTGGTCAAAGCCTTGAATCTTGCACCTCACCTGCACAAGTAGCTGATACATTGGGAGCTTTAGCTTCGGCTCTCATGATATATGATAGCAAAGCAGAAAATTCAAGAGCATCAGACCCTTTGGAGGTGGAAGAAACATTGGTTAAGCAATTTAAGGCCCGCTTACCCTTTCTAGTGCAGGAGCGTACTATTGAAGCACTTGCCAGTTTGTACGGGAATGCTGTACTGTCTAGCAAACTTGCGAATTCTGATGCAAAACGTTTATTGGTTGGTTTGATCACAATGGCCACGAATGAAGTTCAGGATGAGTTGATAAGGTCTCTTCTCTTTCTATGTAAAAATGAAGGTAGCTTATGGCATGCACTACAAGGTCGTGAGGGAATTCAGCTGTTAATCTCGCTTCTTGGGCTCTCATCAGAGCAGCAACAGGAATGTGCTGTTGCTCTTCTTTGTCTTTTATCCAATGAGAATGATGAAAGTAAGTGGGCCATTACAGCAGCTGGTGGCATACCTCCACTTGTTCAAATTCTGGAAACTGGGTCTGCCAAAGCTAAAGAAGATGCGGCAACTATCCTTGGAAACCTCTGTAATCACAGTGAAGATATCCGTGCGTGTGTTGAAAGTGCTGATGCTGTTCCTGCTTTATTGTGGCTTCTGAAGAATGGTAGCTCCAACGGGAAGGAGATTGCTGCAAAGACACTGAACCATTTGATTCACAAATCAGATACTGCAACTATTAGTCAACTCACTGCACTATTGACTAGTGATCTTCCAGAGTCTAAGATTTATGTCTTAGATGCATTAAAAAGTTTGCTCTCTGTGGCCCCTCTGAGCGATATGTTGCGTGAAGGTAGTGCAGCAAATGATGCAGTTGAGACGATGATAAAGATATTAAGCTCCACCAAGGAAGAGACTCAGGCCAAGTCTGCTTCAGCTCTTGCTGGAATTTTCCATCTCAGGAAGGACTTGCGAGAAAGTAGCCTTGCTGTCAAAACTTTGTGGTCACTTGTGAAGCTTCTGAATGCTGAACCTGAAACCATCTTAGTGGATGCGTCCCGCTGCCTTGCTGCAATATTTCTCTCTATTAGAGAAAGCCGTGACATTGCAGCAATTGCTAGAGATGCATTGCCTTCGTTAATGGTGCTTGCAAAGTCCTCAGTTTTACAAGTTGCAGAGCAAGCAGTATGTGCTTTGTCCAATCTTCTTTTGGATCCCGAGGTGTCTGAGAAAGCAATTCCTGAAGAGATTATCTTGCCTGCTACTAGAGTTCTTCGTGAAGGCACAACTGGTGGAAGTACCCATGCTGCTGCAGCAATTGCTCGTCTTCTTCAATTTAGTCAGGTTAATCCTGCCTTAACTGATTGTGTTAACCGTTGTGGAACAGTTCTTGCATTAGTTTCTTTCCTAGAATCAACTGGCAGTGACTCTCTTGCTATATCAGAAGCTTTAGATGCACTTTGTTTCCTTTTAAGGCTGGAAGGAGCTAGTGGTATCAAACCTGCATGGGCAGTTCTAGCTGAATACCCTAATAACATAATTCCAGTAGTTTCATGCATTGCTGATGCCTCACCAGTTTTGCAAGACAAAGCTATTGAGATATTGTCAAGACTCTGCCAAGCTCAGCCCACTGTTCTTGGCGATGCTATTGCTTGTGCCTTTGGATGCATTTCTTCAGTTGCAAGAAGGGTAATCTGTTCCTCCAATGCTTTGGTTAAAATAGGAGGAAGTGCACTTCTTGTTTGCGCTGCAAAAGTGAATCATCAGAGAGTGGTGGAAGATTTAAACGAATCAAAGTCTTGTGTTCCACTCATTCAATCTTTTGTTGGGATGCTAAATGCTTCAGAGTCTCTACATTTGGAGGACCAGGGGGGTAAGATTGCAATTAGCATCTCCAGGGATGCTGAAGAAGAATCAAGAAAGGATGAGACGGAGAAAAGTACTTCAGTTGTTTCCGGGGTCAATATAGCTATATGGCTACTTTCAGCTCTTGCCAGTCGTGATGACCAAAGTAAAGTTGAGATTATGGAGGCTGGTGCGATTGAAGTTCTTACAGAGAGAATCACTCAATCTTTTACTCAGTTTACACAGGTAAGTACTACCTTTAGTTGAAGTGCTTTCTTTCTGTGATAAAACCACATCTAACCTAAGACTCTTGAATTTGTTATGGTATTTATCTTGTTCCAAAGCACTATATGACCTTTGTTAATACTTTTACAGATTGATTTCAAGGAGGACAGTAGCATATGGATTTGTGGATTGCTTTTGGCTATATTATTTCAAGATAGAGACATCATACGAGCACATGGAACGATGAAAGCCATACCTGTGCTAGCTAATTTGCTGAAATCAGAAGAGTCAGCAAACAGGTATTTTGCCGCACAAGCCGTAGCCAGCCTTGTCTGTAATGGTAGCAGGGGAACTCTGTTGTCTGTTGCAAATTCAGGTGCACCATCAGGACTCATAACATTGCTTGGTTGTGCTGATGAGGATATAAAGGACCTTGTTGCACTATCGGAG